AAAAAAATTAATTTTCATAACTCAGACCATCCTGCCCTCTGGAGGCAAAATAGGGAAATTAAAGGGATTAGCTTTATTTGGCAAAATGGTTTTGGTCACATTACTTATAGTCTATAGGGAATGGCAAGTGATTTGTCAGGGACTGACCACTCCTGGTGATTCTTAACCATAAACTCTTTGTTGTTTACAAAATTTGGCCAGTACATATTATTAGGGGAGAAATGGGGAGTGATTTAGTGTGGGTTCCTTCAGTTATTATTACAAACTATTGAACAGAAGCTCAGATATGAGCACTTATTATCTATTGCCAGTCTAAATAAGAAGTGATCTGGATTCTACTGCTTCAAAATTAGACAAAGGGAAGGGAAGAGACATGAGAGGAAAGAGGCATAAAGTTCAGGAGTTTGCATTTAGTTGTTTTCATTCCCTCTCCTCCATCCAAGCTTTCTCAAGGTGCCATAAGGGAATGTGATTTCCCAGGCTTATCACCAGAAGATGCTGCCTGGGCTCCCTTTCTGTAGTAACAATTTCATAAAATAGCATACCTAGTCTGGGATTATTTTGCCCTTCCAAAGTATTCAAGGCTTAAAAAAAAAAAGGACAGGTTTTCAGCATTAGACACTTGAGCAATGGAAAATATGGTTCCCTATGGTGGACTCTGCCAGCACCAAATATTCAAAAGGTGGTGGGTGGGGCAGTGATCTCCCCACCTCCGGGCCTTCTTGGTAGTCCCTGTAGTCCCTCCATCCTGCTGTTTGCGCTTAGCTCCTCTTCCTTTTCCACTGCTTCCTGCTGCAATTCCCCCTTTGAATAGAAGGCAAGATCACTTTCAACAGAGCTGCAATGGAAGTAGCAATGTGGATAGGGACTGACACACCCAATGTGCATTTGTGTAACACCACAGGAAGATTTCCTTCCTGAAAGCATATTAGCTTTCACGCTCCTTCTGAAACAATCTGCTGAGGTGTCTCACAGCCCAGAACACTGGGTTTTGTCAGTAATCTCAAATGAACCTAGTACTAATGATACCTGTGTTACATCTTCAACCTTCCTTTCTTAAAAAACTGAAAATACTAGTATACTTTGAGGATGTAACACAAATGTATTTGCACTTATTCAGATTCCAAGCACCTACGGCTAAAAAGAATGAAAACAATTGCGTGGATGTTTCCCTCCCCCCTCCCAAATCAATACAAATATCTATAATGAAAATATCCTCACTTTAGGTCAATGTTCACTTGTTTGAACTGCACAATATATTTCATAAACATAATAAAAGCACAATATTTGCTAAAGCACTTAACTTGAATATCTAAGAAAACAAAAGTACATCAAACATATAAAACAGAAACAGAAGTACTAAAAAGGTGTTTCTCTCCAGTGCTGCTAGACATTATTATGATTGTACATGACACAATACGGAGGCTTTAAATTCAGTAGGCAATTTTAGTTACATACTCATTTGTCAATGTTTCAGATTGCACAAGTATATGGATAAAATTCAGGCTAAACAACTCTGGCTTGTGATGTTATGGGCAAATAATATTAACAGATAATTTATTTTATACATATATACATACACATATGGTTTTGTTTTGTTTTGGTGGTATTGGGGATTAAAAACAGTAAATCTAGTGAGGGCTCTACCACTGGGCCACACCACCAGCTGATACATTTATATATTTTAAACAAAAAATTCAGCTCTATACTGAGGGCACAAGGAATATTACCTTGTGTATTTCTGAAACAGGTACTTTGGAATTTTGTCCAGTTCTGTAATTTTTGTCCAGTTCTATTATTCCTCTCAATTAGTTTGTTCCCTCTTGCAAAAACTGTCCTTGAACTGCAGGAAAACACCTTTACGTAAACAACTGCATAGAGTACTATATGTAAATTTGGGGCAAGCTTGGAAATTATCAGCAGTTCTGCTGCAATAAAAAGATTCAAGACATTGAGGGTAGGTCATATTCTACATACACAGGACCAGACTTAATGCAGAATTTCCTTTTATGAACAAAGTAGATGTTATTCCTATTTCTCATAAAAGGTCAAATGTTAAACTGTTACAATGTCATTATCATCAATCAAAAAAGCCATTAAGGTTTCTTCCTCTCCTCCTAGTACTGGGGAGTGAACCCAGGGCCTCATGTATGCTAGGCAAGTGCTGGACCACTGAGCTACACCCCTAGCCCTTTTCCTTTAAATTTTTATTTTGAGACAGGGTCTGTTGCCCAGATTGGCCTTGAGCTTGTCATCTTCTTGCCTCAGTCTGCCACGTAGCTGGGATTACCAACATACACCACGACACCTGGTTTAAGTTTTTAAAATTGTCATTTCCAGGACTGGGGCTGGGTGTCAGTGGCAGGGTGCTTGCCTAGCATGTGTGAGGCACTGGGTTCGATTCTCAGCACTACATATAAATAAAATAAAGGTTCATTAACAACTAAAAAATAAAAAAGTAAATAAAATTTAAAACATTGTCATTTCCATTTTTTTGGGGGGTGGGGGTACTGGGGATTGAACTCAGGGGTACTTGGCCACTGAGCCACATTCCCAGCCCTATTTTGTATTTTATTTAGAGACAAAGTCTCACTGAGTTGCTTAGCACCTCACTTTTGCTGAGGCTGGCTTTGAACTCATGATTCTCCTGCCTCAGCCTCCTGAGCCTCTGGGATTATAGGTGTGCATCACCATGCCCAGCCCATTTCAATTATTTTAAGAAAGAAGTTTTAGATCTATTCTGAACAGAAAGTGTAATACCAAGGGAACTTCTGGCCATGTTATGCAGAATATGACAGCATACAAGCTTTTAATTACTAACATTAAACTGGAACTACTATTTCATATTAAAGTGCTATTGCCACCACTTTCACAATGCTTTAAAATTATTTAGTTTTAGCTTCTACCACAACTCAGCAAAAAGCATTTTCCAAACCACAAAATACTTAAGTCTGAGAGGCTGAAAGAAGACAGAGGAGGAATTCACCTCCAAAAGTGGCTCCACCTGTAAGAACAGAAGTGGCACCATGTATTTGTCAAATTTTAACAAGTAAACAGGAAAACATGGTGTAAAAAGATAAACAACACGCCTAGATATTTCCAACCCATCTAATAATTGCAGAAAGGACTAGATATTTAAGATTTCCCATTCCAGAAGACAAGTTATGATATCATGTGTCAGAGAATAGTCTAGCTACCTTCCAGCCACCCTAATTCTCATTAATACCATTAGTAATAAACAACATTTCCCATTAGATGGGTTACCAAACAAAAAAACCATGCTGAAGCAGGTGATCCATATAGTAGCATTGATATATGAATATGTTCATGTTTCAGGCAAGAAAAATTAGAAGACTGACACAGGAAGCTTGTTAAGTAATAGCTAAATTGCAGAAAAAAGGGTGGAGAGCAACTGAATCCTTCTAAATTAAGTGTTAGTTATGAAGATACAGATGGGAAGTCTACTAAAAATACAGTAAATCTGACCTTTAAATTGTACTTTGTTGTATACTAAATTTGCTTCACATAAGATCAAACTGAGGTAAATTGAAAAAAGTTCTCCTTTATTACCATTTGCAAAATTCTTGTCTAGCTCCTAAAAATTGAGTTTTAGATTTTAAGGGTCTTAGTAAATACACAGGTTAAGAGAAAACCCAAAGAATGCCCAATTCTAGACACATGTAAATTCAACAGCTTAAAAATATTTCAACAGTAAGACATTTAAACACTTACCATTTAGATTCCCACTGGTAGACACAGTACTACTTTGTTTCTGGTTGTCATAAGCAGGACCAATGTTACTAAGATCCTGAAAGGAAAAATATCTAAATTTAAAAAGGAGGCTACATTCAGTAGTAGAGCACCTGCCTAGCATATGCAAGACACTGGGTTCAATTTCCAGAACAACAAAAAGAGAATAAAAAGAAAAAGGAGAGGCCAGGCATGGTTGCACACATGCCTGTAATTCCAGCAACTTGGAAAGACGGGGCAGGAGGATTGTCAAGTTTGAGGGCAGCCTCAGCAGTTTATTGAGATCCTGTCACAAAATGAAAAATAAAAAAGGACTAGAGATATAGCTTAGTACTAAAGCACCCCTGGGTTCACCCCCTCACCCCGCAAAAAAAAAAAAAAAAAAAAAGGAATGGTGATGAATGGCAATTACCCAATCAACTGGAGTAGAGGTAGAGGGTACATGGCAAATTGGAAAGCCAGATTGAAATCAGGCCTAGTATGCTCAGATCTCATTTTACATGGGAGAAAACCTGAATTTATGTGAAAACTCAAACTTTCAAAGATAGCAAATAAGTCTTTAGTTACAGCTACTAAGAAAATTGAGGTAGAAGGATTACCTGAGCCCATGAGTGCCAGGCTAACCTGGGCTACATAGCAAAATCCCACTTCAAATCAGACACTTGAAAGTACAGCCCAAAGATCTAACTTACTTAGTTGCCACATGTGATCTCTGCCATTGAACAAAGAGTTAAAATTCTCTTTTTACTGCTATGCTAAACAAACAATATAAATTCTTTTTCACAATAATTTTTTCTTTACTGCATTGTTTTCAAGAGCAAAATCTCAGATAGCAGGAAGATCAGAATAATTTGGAACCATGCATTTATGCAATACATGTGAAGAAATCAAAACATTAAAAAAGAAAAATGATGCTGCATGTGATGGCACATGCCTGTAATCCCAGTAGCTCAGGAGGCTGAGCAGCAATGGGCGCAGTGCTAAGCAACTCAGTGAGACCCTGTCTCAAAATAATATACAAAAGAAGGCTGGGGATGTGGCTCAGTTGTTGTGAGTGCCTCTGAGTTCAATCCCCAGTACCAAGAAAAGAAAAAGATGTATCAACAAAGTTTATTTGGCTGGAAATAATGGTGCATGCCAGTAATCCCCAAAACTTGGGAGGCTGAGGCAGGAGGATCAGGAGTTCAAAGCCAGCCTCAGTAATTTAGCAAGCAACTCAGTTACATCCTATCTCTAAATAAAATACAAAATAGGGCTGGAGATGTGGCTCAGTTGTTGAGTGCCCCTGAGTTCAATCCCTGGTACTCCCAGGAAAAAGAAAAAAAAAGAAAGAAAACAAAAAAGGTGGTGGTTATATTTCGGTAGTAGAGCACCCCTGGGTTCAATCCCTAGTACCACACATATACACACACAAAATCCCATTTATTTGGAGTCCACATGTTATAGGCACATACTAGCAATGTTATGTGGCAAATAAATAAACAAAATTTGATTCCCTACCTATGTGGCTTAAAATTAAAAAGAGAATAAGAAGTATATTTTTAAAAATATTTTTTAGTTATACATGGGCACAATATCTTCATTTTGTTTATTTATTTTTATGTGGTGCTGAGGATGAACCCAGGGTCTCATTCGTGAGAGGCAAGTGCTCTACCACTGAGACACTTCCCCAGCCCCAAGAAGCATATTAATGTACCTGATCCAAAAGTCCAAATTTGGGGTAATCTTCTTCGGGGTCTTTACTTCCTGGATCAGGGTGTTCTTTCACCAAGAATACATCTCTTTCTTTACTCTAAAAGAAAACAGAACAGTAGTATTATCAATGGAAACTTTATACTTAAAGTATGGCAGAGGTGATCAATCACCAACTCCAAAAGAAAATAGGTATAGTTCCAAAAAATAATATTGTTTTTCCCTCTCATTAGAAAATATATGACCATCAAAAAATTCAAACAAAAGAGAAACATAAGAGAGCCAATCTTCCCTCTGCCTCACCTATCCTTCCACTCCCCAGGGATAAGCACTATCAACAGCTTGCTACTGATTTCTCCCCAGGAGTTCTCTTTAATTCTAAGGACAATGTTTAGAACAAAGTTTTTTGTTTTGTTTCAAATCAAAGAACAAAAATGGTCTCCGATTTTAATATAAAATTATTTATAAAAATACAGTGAACAAAAGGTCTCAGTATATGAAACTATTGTCAATATAAGTGATATTCACTTAAGACAAAACAGGCAACTCACAAAGTTTACATGAAAAAATTACTAACATTTACAATTACCTGCATCTCATAATTTCAAAAATTTAATATAAAATTACTCACATTTTCTTAGTAATCACATTATTTCACAGTGAGACTAAACAGAATTTGTTACAAAGAACAGTGGTTTTCTAAATGTCAAGTCTAATCAACTTTAGTCTACTTACCATTGTTTTGACAATGTTATTTGGCCAAGTCATTTTCCCAGGTCTCTGTCTGGTTGTCATGCACTCCCAATATTTATCAATAAATGGTATAATATCCTAGTTTTTAAAATAAAATATATTAAGACTTTTATAATTGCTTTCAAAGTTTTGCTCACAAAACAGAGAAAACAGCATTTTCAAGACCTTCTTAGAATCAAAAGAAACATTCATGTTCAACTTTTTAATCAGTAAACAAATATTTAATTGCTTGGAAACAAGGTATAGATTATGAAATTCCAAACAAGTATACACAAATCTTAGTTATTAAGGCTTACAATCCAGTTGGAGGGGAAAATTCTGTAATATTACCTTGATTATCAAAAGGAAAATGCTTCCCAAATTATTGTCTCCTGAGCTCTATTTGGTACTGGGATTGAGCCCAGGGGTGCTTAACCTGGGTGCTTAACCACATCCCCAGCTCCTTTTATATTTTGAGATAGGGTCTCCCCAAGTTGCTCAGAACTTTGCTAAATTGCTGAGGCTGGCTTTGAACTCATAATTCTACTATCTTAGCCTCCCGAGTCACTGGGATTATAGGTGTGCACCCTCCCACCCAGCTTGAGCTCCTATTTCTTCTACTTACTTGAGACATCTTCTGGACATCAAAACTTTTTGGAATTAAAATATGCAACTCTGTATATTACCTCACAAATATACAAAGCAGAATCTATCTTTGCTCTTAATACCTATCATAGATAACTCAGAAAAAAACTTTTGACACCTTTCTTTCACATCCCCTACCATCTAAAGTCACCAAATAAAATTTTAAATTTCAGAAACTTCACACCAATCAGGCCTCCCTCCTTTCCATCCCTAGTAAAAGTACAGTATAAAGATCTGATTCTCTTATTCTTTGTGGTACTAATGATTGAACTCAGTTCAATTACAAGATGGATCAGGTGATCCATCACTAAACTACATCTCCAGCCTCTCTTATTTTTTATTGAGACAGGGTCTCACCAAGTTGCTTAGGGTCTTGCTAAATTGCCAAGGCTAGCCTTGAACTTGCAATCCTCTTGCTTCAGTCCCCAGAGTCTCTGGGTTACAGGAATGCGCAATCACACCCAGTTCTAGATTTCATTTTCTCAGTTGCTAAATGTGATCTTACTTATGTGGCGCCAAACAATATCTGACCTTAATCTGCTATCAAATTTTCCCCATATTAGAGTACCTTCAAAGTCTCACACTACCAGCTAACACCATGAAAACATATCTTCAAAGGCTTAATCAGAGAAAGTCCAAGGGAAGCCTGAAATAGTATATATATTGCTCCCAAATGTGAGAGTTCAAAAGTTGATTAGGAGGGGCTGGGTTTGGGGCTCAGTGGTAGAGCACTTGCCTAGCATGTGTGAGGCACTGGGTTCAATCCTTAGCACCTATAATCCCAGTGGCCTGGGAGGATGAGGCTGGAGGATCACAAGTTCAAAGCCGCCCTCAACAATTTAGCTTGACTATCACAAAATTAAAAAAAAAAAAAGGTCTGGGACTGTTAAGTACCCCTGGGTTCAATCCCTTGTAGAAAGAAAAAGAAACAAACAAACCAACCAACCAACCAATCTGATGGGGATATGTCAAAAAGTTTCAGTAGTCAGTGTGATAAAGCTGGGATAATGTATAAGAAATCTAATAACAGACTACAATACAGTCCTGTGTTATTGTTCCTAACAATTGTGCCATGAACAAAACAATATAAGATTAAGTCAAGCATAAGAGAAAATGATGCAATTAATGGGCTAGGGTAGGCATCAGAAGCATGAGGCTGCTGTCAGTTTAACACAACATACTGTTTTACAATCCACTTTTTGAGGAGGCTGGGGGCAGTACTAGGAATTAAACCCAGGACTTTGTGCATGCTAGGCAAGCACTCTCTACTTGAGCTACATCTCCATCCCAAAGTAGAGGTATACTCTAAAATAATGATAAAATCTGGGCATGGTGGCTATAATCTCAGCTACTTGGAAAGCTGAGCAAAGAGGATTGCAAGTTCAAGGCCAAACTTGACAATGTAGCAAAACCTTATCTCAAAAAGGGTTGGGGATGCACCCCTGGGTTCAATCCCCAGTGTCATAATAAATCAATGAATTAAGATAAATTATGATAAAAACTATAATACATAAATCAGTAACAGTGATTTATTATCAAGTATTATGTACTGTACATAACTGTGCTATACTTCTATATAACTGGCAACATGGTTATATATGAGATATGTATCATTTTTTTTACTATGATCACATATGTTTACATGAGCATCTCCACAAACAATTGTCTAGATGCTTCAAAATTTTAAATGTCAAAGTAGACACTTTTCATTGTTCATCAAAAGTAAAATAAATGGGGTAAAGAACTTGTTTTAGATAAAAGACAAATATATTACAAATAAATATAAGGTGTAATCTTTTTATTTTTTAATTAATTTTTAGCTTTAGGTGGACACAATATCTTTATTTTATTTTTATGTGGTGCTGAGGATCGAACCAGTGCCTCAACACATGCCAGGTTGAGTACTACTTGAGCCATATCCCCAGCCCCAAGGTGTGATCTTAATTGGATCGTGGACAGAGGAAACTGTGAAGGATATTAAGCAACAATAATATAGAGACATTCACATAATCACCTCCTCTTTTGATATACTGAAAAACACATTTCCTCTGTATCATTCTGGTCTAAAATATTTAATCTGGTGGGCCTGGTGACACACGTCAATAATCCTAGCAGCTCAGGAGGCTGAGACAAGAGGATTGTGAGTTCAAAGCCAGCTTCAGCAAAAGCAAGGTGCTAAACAACTCAGTGAAACACTGTCTTTATTAAAAATACAAAATTGGGCTGGGGTTGTGGCTCAGTGGTTGAGTGCTCCTGAGTTCAATCCCTGGTACCAAAATAAATAAATAAATAAATAACCTGAAGCCAACCATGAGGAAATATCAGATAAATGTAGAGTGAGGAATATCATACCAAATAATTATCTAGACCCTTCAAAATTTTAAATGTCAGAGCAGACACCTCCCCATTGTCTGTCAAAAATTAAATAAACTGGTAAAGGATCTATTCTTAGATTAAAGATAAAACATAATTATAACTAAATGGAAGGTGAGATCCCTGGAGAGAGGAAACAAAGAGGAATATTAAGAAAACAATAATGTTGAGAAACATGAATAAGATCAGATAATATTACTGCATCATCAACATTATTATTTTTTTACTATGATCACTAAATTATACTTTTACAACAGAATACTGGGTCAAGCATAATAGCTATAATTTTGCCTCATATAGCTTAGGGGGGAAAATATAGATATGGAGAGAAAAAGCAATGTGGCAAAATATTAACAAAGGTTAATGTCCTCGAGTTCAAGCTCCAGTACCAAAAATCCCCACAAAAGCCAAATTAGGCAGAGAAGATTTACCTCAGACCTGATTATTAGACAGCTGTTTGTTTCTGTAAGGCAACCAAAAGTATTTAAGTATTCACAATACTAACAGTCAAGCCAAGTAGCACATACTAGGAAATTAGTAAATGATATAAAATAAAAAACAAGATAACAACTGAATTTATATAGTCTTACTCATAAAAACTGGCTAGAAAGTACTTGTTAAAGAGTGTTAGAAGTCCCATCTGAGTCTATGGCATAATTGCAATTATGTTAATCCATTTTTACCTTATCTTTGGAGAACATTGTTTTTGGATGTTCATCCTGTGTTCGAGACTGCCATGTTAGGTTGGCCAAAGCACTAAGGCACATTTCCTTTAAATCTATAAAAAACAAAAAGGAAAAAAAGCTATCTATAAAATTACAGTTCTGTCACCAAGGGAATACTCAACAAAATGGTTCACAAGATACAATTAGAGTTAGAGCAGCTTTAAAAAGCAGAGTTATTATTTGATCTAAAATGGGTGAGAGCAATTATTCAGACCTACACCGCAATTGGATTCTACCAGCTATGATGTAAAGGTCTTCTGAGTCTGCTAAGCCCAGATCCCTTTTCTTGAACAGTGAACAATCATTTTGAAATACTCCAGAGTTGTTCTTACTTGCTTGCTTCCGGAGGAAATAAGTATTTCCACTATGATGGCACACGTTGCAATGGAAACTGTAGTTGGTCATGAAAGGGAGACAGGATCTGTGGATTAACCAAATTATACAAATCAGTGAACTTCTGAACACACATTTCTTTATGATACGTAAATCAATATGAATTCTTTCTCCTTGGTGCAGTTATATAAAAATATTAATATAGGGCTGGGGATGTGGCTCAAGCGGTAGCACGCTCGCCTGGCATGCATGTGTCCCGGGTTCGATCCTCAGCACCACATACAAAGATGTTGTGTCTGCCAAAAACTAAAAAAATAAAATAAAATATTAAAATTCTCTCTCTCTCTTAAAAAAAATTAATATATTAATTGCTCTTAAAAATGTAAAATGGCCAGGTGAAGTGATACACAATTGTAATCCCAGAACTTGGAAGGCTGAGCAGAAAGATTAAAAGTTCAAGACCAGCCTCAGCCACTTAGCAAGATCCTGCCTCAAAATTTAAAAAATATAAAAAGGACTGGGGAAGTACCTCAGTGATAAAGTGTCCCTGGGTTACATCCCCAGTCCCAACAAACAAACAGCAATTAAAAAAAAAAAAATGCAAAGTATTAATCGACAAAGAAATGAGGATTGTATTTTCTACAAATATCAGGATTCTTCTTCATAGAAAAATAAATAAAACATTATCTACCACAGTGGACAATGCAGCACCTAAAAGTTCTAACTGGCACCTTGTCCATGTTAGATATCTTTTTTTGAGCACATAAAGAGTTCACCAGACCAACTGCAGAAGACAAAGTAGTCTAAGACACAGTTCTTTAAAGTGTCAATAACATCACTGGAAAAGACAGACAGAATTATGAAAAGATTATTCAGGAAGACAATAATCACAAAACATCTGCTTAATTACCAGATGAATTCTACAAATGATAATATAGTCCATAAGATTTCGAAGGACCCAAGTAGTAAACTCACGTTTAGGAATTAGAAAAATTTGTCAAGGACGGTTTAAGATCTGAATTTGAAAAGATGAGTGATTTTTGGACAGATGAACTACAGGTAGGGATGAGAAAATTCAAGTTAGGAGGAGGGGGCAAAGTGGCATACAGAAGTCTGTTTAGGACAGGATGTGTCCAGGATATGATAAAAAAAAAAAAAAAGGCATGAGCAATTCTCAAAAACAAAACTCTGGAACCAGCCTAGGTGTCCATCAAAGGATAATGGAAAAAGAAAATGTGGTATGTGTATATAATGGAGCTTTATTCAGCCATAAATAAAAACTAAATTGCTGGGCATGGTTGATACATGCCTGTAATCCCAGTGGCTCTGGTAGCTGAGGCAGGAGGATTGTAAATTCAAAACCAGCTTTAGCAATTTAGTTGAGACCTTTTCTCAAAAAATTAAAAAGGACTGAGCATGTGTCTCAGTGGGCAAGTGCCCCTGGATTCAATCACTAGTACCCAAAATTTTAAACATTAAAGGAAGAAAGGAAGGAAGGAAGGAAGGAAGGAAGGAAGGAAGGAAGGAAGGAGAAAGAAAGAGAGAGAGAAACTAGATCATTTGCAGAAAAACAGATGGAACTTGAGGAAAATGTTATGTTAAGTGAAATAAACCAAAACTTGCCAGGTGATACCACACCTATAATCCCATGTAAATGCACACACATAATCCCAGCAGCTCTGGAGGCTAAGGCAGGAGGATCCAGAACTCAAAGCCAACCTCAGCAATTTAGGGAGGCACTGAGCAACTCAGTGAGACCCTGTTTCTAAATAAAATATAAAAAAGGGCTGGGGATGTGGCTCAGTGGTTGGGTGCCCCTGGGTTTAATCCCAGGTACAAAAAAAAAAAAATTCCTAAAAGCTGAGTTTGCTGGCAGAAGGCCTGCCTCTTTGAAGGCAGAGAATAAGAAGGCAGTGGGAGGAGAAAGACTGAATGTGGTAGAGATTTTGGTTTTGGAGATTACAGTGGGACAATGGGAAGGAAAGACTGAATATGACAGAGATATAGGAGATAACAGGGGAAACAGATGCACTAAAGAAAGGAAGTGAGAGGTAATTGTACTGGATGATTGGAAAAGCATGAGAGAGCTGGGTGGTTGTTTTTGCAGTACCAGGAATTAAACCTAGGTCCTTGGGTATGCTATGCAAGTGCTCTACCATTGCACTGTATGGGGAGCCCCTAGAAGCTTAGTCTTACAAAGTAAATGGAACAAAACAAAAGACCTTTAGTAAAAATGGTTTAAGTTGAAACATAATGTCACATTTACCTTGAACTCAAGCTAACTTAGGGTTTCCCCTAAAAAAAGAAGATTCCCAAATATGTGCTATTTACTAGATACCACTCAAGAAATTTAAGATTTTTTTTTTTTTTAGTACTGAAGACCAAAACCAGAGTACTCTACCACTGAGCTATGTCCCCACCTCTTTTTATTTTTTGAGACTGATTCTCACTAAATTGCCCAGGCCATCTCAAACTTCTGATCCTCCCACCTTAGCTTCCTGAGTCACTGAGATTACAGGCCTAGAACTTCAGTTAAGCATTATAATAAACTCAATTATGGAAGGCAAAGCTTCACACTAAAGATACATAGTTATTTTAAAACAAAAACAATTAGGTTTCAGAGAAGCTTTTTTTTTCATATCCTGTTAGCTTATATTCTCTCTGGCATAAAGATTATCCATCCCATGTAGTTGGCTTTAGGTGTAATTTCTCAAATTCAGGTACAAAGTAGTCTCTCCAAAGTTACCAGAACTTTGAACTGTGGTTTGATTCATTCTTGGTTTGCTCCTACTTATCTCTCCAGTAAATTTCCATTACTAGGCTCTGAGGCCTTTCTAACTAGCCAGCCTTGCTGAGCAGTGTGTTTTCCCTAGTGATCTTTTAACTAAGATCAACTCTTCCTGATCCCTCAGTATTTTTCTTTCTTTTTTAAACACTATCTTAGGTCACCACTCACATGTTAATTGTACATTAGCATTTCTAAAACTCACTTTAACTTTTTTAACAGTCAAGCATACAATAAATTATAAAAGAAGGTATTTTTCAGAACATTTAAGGGGAATCAACTAAAGAAAAATGTAGCCTTCTTATTTTGAGATAGAATTATTTAAATTTATTAGCAATAATATGGGCCATAAAGAATATTACTGAGGGCTGGGAAAGTGACTCAGGGTGCTTGCCTGGCACATGTGAGGTCCTGGGTTCAATCCCCAGTGCAGCAAAATACAAAACAAAACAAAAAAACTTTTACTGAGAGCCAGTAACAGTGAGTCAGTAATGTTCACCTGCTAGCTATTGATCGAGTCACCAGAATAAGAAGCCTTTCATTCTCCCCCTTTTATATCAATCATAATATGATTTTAATTCATTAGAAGAGGTGCATGTCTAGAAACAGGTTTTGCTGAGGGGACAGCACAAGATACCCAGGGGAATGAGTTAGAAGTAAAGGTCCTGTGCATTTTAAGCAAGCATTCTTCCACTGAGGTACATTCCCAGTTCCTCAATTTTTTGACAATGGGCTTTATCCACCATATACACCAAATCCTTTCTAAAAAATCCAAAACACCCAATACAAGGCTTAAATGATACTGTCTCATATTTGCTTATATAATACTTTCCAACTGCAAAGTTTTATTTCTCAATCAAATTGTAAGCCCAAAATCAAGAGACAAAATCCACTGGCATGCCCTCAATAAGTAGAAGACATGCTAAGGGAATTAAAACAATTCCTTATTCAATATCCTATTCACTATATAGGGGTTAGGAGACAGGAAATATATGCACTTATTTTGCCTAAAAACTATCCAACTATTGAACATGCTGAGATTTACTTTAGAAATAAATTCTTACAAGAGTAAAAGTACTCACGAAGTATCTATGCCAAAGGTGTCTGCTGTGAACCATTTTGTACATATCCCACACTGCAATTCCACCTCTCCCAACTGTCGGCCGTTTTCTTCATCCACGGAGCCTGCCTGAGTATCCATCACCTCTGAAGTATCCCCAGTACCTTCCTGTGAACACAGAACAATTAGAATCAAATTAAGTTGGCTTGACTGCATTTTTGGTTCACTTAAAAATTTAAAAACAGGGGCTGTGGATGTAGTCCAGTGGCACAGTACTCGTGTTGTAAGCACAAAGCCCTGGGTTCAATCCTCAGCACCACAAAACAAAATTTATTTTGCTTGGCAAACATCCAGAAAGAAATACTTACTAGTGTATCTTTTCCATTAGAGGATTCTGTCTCCAAACCACCACTTACATCAACCAAGTTTGCATCCCTGTAAGATAATGAACGCACTCAAGTAAGAATTTTCAAGAGAAACAAACCTCACAATGCCAAGTCCCAAAGATAATCATCAAAACATGGCTGAGCTGGGCGCGGTGGCGCACGCCTGTAACCCCAGCGGCTAGAGGCTGAAACTGAAGGATCGCGAGTTCAAAGCCAGCCTCAGCAACTTAGCGAGGCGCTAAGCAACTCAGCGAGACCTCGTCTCTAAATAAAATACAAAAAAGGGCTGGGGATGTGATTCAGTTAAAGCGCCTCTGAGTTCAATCCCCGTTACAAAAATGAAAGAAAATACAGCTGAACTTATTTACTCTTATAGCTTTTCCAGCTAAACTGGATCTGGACTAGATGCCCAGGATTACTATTAGGATACTAGGAAGAATGTGGTCAAGACAGACGAAGGTTCTTAGAATACTGAGACGTCTACTCGGACAACCCAATTAGACAAGTCTGGATGAGCTGGTCCTAGGTGAGATTCACAGAGATGCAATTCTCCCACTCTGCTGCCGAAAGGACCGTTACTTTTCCCAGTCGAGCACTGCAAAGTGATTTCCTTCCTGAAGTATCTGAGGATCTCCTGCAGGAAAAGAGAGCTAACAGCCTCCTCTGGGGTACGGAGCCAAAGACAGGACGAGGTGCTCGGCTCTTACCTAACCAGAAAGGTGAGCAAAGGGGCGTGGCCTTAAATAGAGTTCGGAAGGGAAGCGCCAAGCCAAGGGCGTGATTAACCTCGTAGAGGGGGCAGGGAAAGTCGAGCCGTTGGCCTCAAGGCCCAAGTTCTGAGAGCGCGGGTAGGAGAGTTCCCGGGAGCCGCGGGATTGCGAGAGAATTCGGTGTCCTCAGGCCGCAGGACGTCTTACCCGCTTTCAGCCTCTCCAGAACTAGGCTCAGTCGCCGGAGCAGCAGACGTCCCCTCTCCGGCCGGAGTGGCTGCTACCGCTGTCACCGGTTTCGTTTCTCCCTCTTCTGCCGTTATTGCATTTGCTGCCGCTACAGGGCCAGGTCCGGAACCCGCTCCCGGGCCGGGTCCGGTTCCCGCCGCCGCCATCACTGCCGCCTCCCAGTCTTCTCGCGAGAACACTTCCGCCGTGTCGCGCGAGCTGCTCCCGGGTTCTGCACTCTTCAAGTAGTAAAGCCCACTGGTAGGTCCACCACTTGCCAGAGGACTGTGCAGGCCAGACCTAGCCGCTTTAAGGACAGGCGGGCGGGGCCGCGGCCCCTGCGGTGGTGGTTGTTAGCGCCAAGTGAAGGCGGAGGAGGCTCGTTAGTGTGGTTTATAATAATATTTACTGCATTTCAGGGATGAATGCTGCGTGGCTAAGACTGGACGTCACAATGCAGACGAGGTGCTAGCTTGTAAACGCTGCTCGCCATTTAATGTGTGAGGACGAGCGCTCACTGCCCGGGCCTGGTGTACTTTGTTGTACTGCCTAGTGGTCTGCCACTTTGAGCACGTTTCCAGGTGACCTTTAGAGCTGGAAATATAGAGGCTAATTGCAGAGCCCAAGCGAGAGTGAGTGTAGTGTCCAGGTGGGAGAGACCAGGCGTAATGTGTGCACTAGAGGCTCCAAGCAGTTTATTGTGAAAAGAGAAAAAACGAAGGCCCGGACTCAGGGAGCCCTGTAGTAGAGGTCTTCGTTTAGAAAAGTTTGGTGCTTAGCGGGGAGTGGATGTGGGACGGACTCAAGAATTGGATAAATCATTGTCAGTACCTGGTAGTTGAGATCACTGGAGTGAATAGACGCGCATTCGGAGTCAAGTCTACAAACTCGAGGTTATAGACCTCTAGGAATATTGGGGCCAGAGTTTTCAGGAAATCAGTGTTTAGATAGATCCTATTTTCTAAAAAAGTTGCCAAAGGATACACTGTCCTCTCACTTTACAGAAAAAGACCTGCTGGGCACGGTGGTACACACCTGTAATCACAACTACTCAAGAGACTGAAGTAGGAGCATAGCAAGTTCAAGGGCAGCCTGGGAACTTTACTAGACCCTTTCTCAAAAAGGGGGGGCGGGGCCGGGCTGGGGAGGGAACTCAGTGGTTGAGTGGGTAGAATGCTCTTGGGCTCAATCCCCAGTACAAGGGAGGCTCCAAGGCAGACCCAGTTAGTAGTCTACACTGGAGATAGTAAAGTGGTCTTAATGTCTTTACCAAGACTTCTCAGTGTGTCCAGAACAGATTGTTCTCCAGCCTGGCACGGTGGCAACGCCTGTAATCCCAGTGGCTCCAGAGGCTGAGGGAGGAGGATAGGGAGTTCAAAGCCAGCCTCAGCAAAAAGCAAGGCATTAAGCAACTCAGTGAGACCTTGTCTCTAAATAAAATACAAAATAGGGCTGGGGATGTGGCTCAATGGTTGAGTGTCCCTGAGTTCAATTTCTCAATAATAAAAAACAAAAACAGAAAAGATTGTTCCTGGAATAGGTTGTGCCCTAAAGGAAGATGCCTGCCTTGCATTCTTGCCCATCTGTTCCCCTACAATGCCCGCATTCTGCTGCTGGATGTGACTTATGTAAACTGAGCCCATCTCCTCTCCTTACCAGCAGGGTGTCCAGTTGCCACCCAGATCCTTGGTGTCCTAAACAAAGAATTCAGCAGGCACACAAGTAACAAGCAAAGTACAGATTTATTGATGGTGAAAATGGAAGTTGCCCTCAGCCAAGTCAGAGAGAGGCTCAAGGCGTGGATGTCTGGAAATTAGTGTTTTGAATACTGACCTGTGAGACAGTCTCTTCACTTTATGGACCTGATTGAAGACTTTACCCCATTTGCCCCCATTGGTTACTTTATGCTTCCTGATTAGAATATTGTCCAGTCCACCCCACCATTGGTTACTTTAGAAAACCTAGTTAGAATAATGCCCAATTTACTTCCATTGGTCATTTTAAAATACCAAACCTATGGCAGTTCTTGTTATGGTGATAAGCAGTCAATGGTAGGAGTTGTCATGGTAATGGGACTTACTCTAAACAAGGATATGACTTTTCTCCCTGTCTTGTCATCCAGTGGTATCCTTCTTATATTTGCCTCCACCATCTTGGTGTCCCTGAACTCCTACCTAACATAACACCCTCACTTTCCCTTGGGCCTCTCCTGACTCGAGCATACTTCTCCTTGAAGGGGGCATGCAAACGTTAGCAAAGCATAAGGATGAAATTTCTAAAATTGCTGTTCCCATTCCAACGAAAGGGAAAGCATTTCACAATAGAATTGGGGGAAGTTTGAATGCTTGTACACAGGCACATGTCAGCAGTCTGTGAACTAATACTAGAGATGATTGTTTTTCTTTCTTTACTTTTTTTTTTTTTTTTGGTACTGGGGATTGAATCCAAAGGCTATTTACCATTGAGCTATTATTCTTGCCCCCCCTTTTCTGGGGGGGGTACTGGGGATTGAACTCAGGGGTACTCAACAACCGAGCCACATCCCCAAATGTTAGGACAAACAACAGGAGACGGGAAGCAAACCTTGAATCAGCACGCTTTTCTTTATTCAGTATTTAGCAGTGTAGTCAATTGGCAGAACACTGGTGTAGGTCATTTTGGGGGCAAAAAATGGCAGCAGGTTGAAGCAAGGGTCTAGGTCTTATAGGCTTTATTTAGGGTACAACAGGAAGACAGTTCCTGGTGTTCATTGTTTTGGGGTCCATTGATTCATTAGGGTGCAACAGGAATGTGGATAAGGAATTTCCTGGGGCTTATTTTATTGTTGGTCAGGTGACTCATTAGGGTGAGGGGTCAGGTGCCAGTCAGATGAAAGTTCTTTGTGTTTGTTCCCTCTGGCTGCCACCTGGGATTTTAAATGACAAAAGTTTAGGGAAAATGTCCTTGGACTTTTTTCCATACCATTCATCAGCCCTGTTTTGTACTTTATTTAGAGACAGGGTCACACCATGTTGCTACCACCTCGATATTGCTGAGGCTGGCTTTGAACCCCGGAACCCCCACCTCAGCCTCCCCAGCTGCTGGGATTACAGGTGTGCCCCACCGTGCCCAAAGCCCCTTTTTTATTTTGAGACAGGGACTCACCAAGTTGCTGAGGCTGGTCTCAGCTTGTGATCCTGTTGCCTCATCCTCCAGAGACTCTGGGATTACAGGTGTGTGCCACCAGCTGACTACTCTAGATGATTTTAAATCCAGCTCTGAGCAGTGGCTCAATATCAACCTGGAGGCAAATAACATAGACATCTTAGGGTCTACTTGGGCCTTTGTCTTTCTCATCCTTCCCTCTCTCCACAGGTACCAGGCAGGAAGAGTGGCATTTGCTTGCTGGACAGTCTCTTCAGCAAGGCATTCCTGTCTCCAGTGCTCAAACTCATAGTATGGTGATGCACTGCCACAGGGTGTAAGAGCCTCTAGGGCAACTGACACAACAGCTGAAATATGTAGTTATTTTAATTTCTCAATTGGTTCCCAATGATTTGTTTTCAACCAAATGGAAGGAGGATCTAATTAAATTACCAGCTAATTACTTAAAAATTAATATTGAAAAATGCTAAAGTCAGTAGGCGATACTTCAAGGAGGAACATAATAATTGCTCAAAGCATCTTCCTTATTTAGTAGTTATTGTAGTAATTTTAAAATGGCCACAAGTTGTTTTTTTAATCAGTACCATATTTGAACATTTTCATGGGGTACATTCTGACAATTTGATATATATAAGCAATACATAATGGTCAGGGGCTGGGGATGTGGCTTAAGCGGTAGCGCGCTCGCCTGGCATGCGTGCGGCCTGGGTTTGGTCCTCAGCACCACATACAAATAAAGATATGTAAAGGTAAAATTTCCAAGCTGATTCTAAGCCGCAGAGCCTGAGTTAAAGTGTAAAAGACCAGGCATCCTAAAGTTTCCAAAGTGCAGAGATTGGGTTAAAAAGTAAAAGACTAGTATTGTTAGAGTCCCTCTGCTACACCCAAAACCTGTAATCCCTGTAGCTGTTAGGACAATACTGGAACTGCCCAGTAAATATTTCCACTGACTTTCTGGTTGTTTAATAGCTAAGGGTTCCGAGTTGCTTGGCACGTAGGCATTGCAGGACCTAAACCAATCAGTTTGAATGTGTACCCCACCTAGGATGGGCAATCACTCCTGCCCTAATTGTTCCCGCCAATGTATGCACTAATCCTGACTCAGGGTTGTTGTTCAATTTTCCCGCGCCTCATGATGATTTGTTCTGATGTATGCAAAGCCCCCGACCCTCTCCAAAAAGTGTACTTAAGCTCCGCTTGAACTCTGCTCTGGGCTCTGAGCCGCTCTCCCTTCTTGAGTGGGCACAGAGTCCCAGCGCGTTGGAACAGGATCCTCAATAAACTTCCCCGCTGCGATTGCATGAAGTGAGTCTCTTGTGTGGTTTCTCCCCTCCGACGCTCCGCTGCACCCCAACAGATGTTGTGCCCGCCGAAAACTAAAAAATAAATATTAACATTCTAAAAAAAATACATAATGATCAAGTCAGGGTACTTAACACATCTCTTCAAACTTTAATAATTGGGGCTGGGGGTGTGGCTCAGCGGTAGAGCACTTGCCTAGCATGTGTGAGGCCCTGGGTTCTATCTTCAGCACCACATAAAAATAAATAAACAAAATAAAGGTATTGTGTCCAACTACAACTAAAAAATG